GTCTCAAGTTAGCAAACGCGGCCCGAGCCTTGCAGATTCGTGCATTCACCTCATATGTCACACTACAATCAGAACTAATACAACTTCCAAGATACGTAAAACGCTCCACAACTTCCAGTACCTCTCCCTGGATCGTAAGTGGCGTGTTCAGTGACTGCACGTCCACAAGCATGACCTTACACTTTGTGGGTGCAAAGTGCATACCAAAGGACGGGATGACTTTGGTCAGTTCATCCAAGAATACTTGCGTCTTCTCCACCTCTTCGAACATGAGAACGATGTCGTCTGCATATTCCAGATCGACAAGGTTTTCTCCACAGGCTATTTGAACACCAGGGTTTTGGAGACCCTCCAGCGTTCGTCTCATTATTTCATCGAGCGTAATATACGCTTTAATTGCCTACTAACGGTAGTAATAAGCTGAATGTATAGAGTTAATGATATATGATGAGAGTAGTTTACGTAGTCGTGACACTTATTCTGCCTTGGAATAAGTGGACACCTTTGTAGTGAACGATAGTTTGACAGAAAGCTGTGGTAGTTACGTGGAATCATTTACCCCTCTATGTTGCACAGATTATATAGGTGTGTGCTGTTTTCATATAAGAATATCCCGGTGATTTCCTGAGTCCGAATTAGGATGGGATTGTGAGGTATTGTTAATAAACAAGATTTCGGTTTTTGGTCACGGCAGACTGATGGTATGTGGTGAGGTTCCTCTGCGTCAGAAGGATTGTATGTTACATCATTGCCTTTAGGAGCCAGGCGGCTTGGGGATGCGCTTTCGTGCTTTCCATATGGACGAACTATGTGGGCGTACAAAAGATAACCTCCGCTTCCTCTACCAGAGGGCCATATTTAGAGGCTTGATCGTTGCGTTATAAGAGGGTCGGCCCAGGGTCAGTAAGCCAGGGAGGCAAGGAGCCACGTTGGCTGATGGTCCTGTGAACGACAGCAAACGTCCATGTGGGGTACAGTTGATACAGTAAAGAGTATCAAGAAGGACAACTACCCAATGTATGGCAGGCAAGTTTATTGCTGGTCTTCCGAATGGTTACATTAAGTCGTCCCACTTGACCGGTTTGCATTATAGGCAACGGTGCGACTAGGAGAAGCGACGTTGTTGTACAGAAACTATTTCAGTTCAGTTGATATGAACGTAGAACCGCGTTCTGAGTGAATATAGGTGGGCGTACCAAACAGTGAACACAGCTGACGCAAAGAACCAATTACAGTGAAAGAGGACATCGGCGCAGGGATAAGCAAAAGGGAATCAGGAGTACTCGTCAGGGATTGTTAAGAGGTACTTGTTACGAGTGTTTGAAGGAAGTGGGCCCTTAAAGTCAATACTAAGGTATTCAAAAGGTTGTGCAGCTTTTATAAGATGGTCACGAGGTGAGTCACGAAATTTGGTTTGAGTTTGACGCATGTGGGGTAGTTAGAGACCACGCGTCGGATATAATGGACCGAAAAAAGGATGGTTTTCAGAACGAACAAAATATGCAAATCTCGTGACCCCGAGATGGCATAATATATTGTTTCTCCGTCCCAACAATTTCG